TTTATTTAATGAACAAAGTTTCAACAGCACTCTTAAACTTATTTGACAAATGTGTTTAAGCAGTACAAAAGCCAATTACAGAAACTCACTATGTATACAAAATATGTGATATTATTATTACAACATTGGGTAGAAAAATAAATTTAAATTGGTACAAAAAAACTGAGTTCATAACTAACTGTAAATTACTGATATCAATTGTCGTGTATAGGTCTGTGTAAGTATATGTGTGTATATGTGTATATGTGATGGAGCGTGAGTGTCTAGTTCGCCTCCCCCTATTTCCTCAGAGAATGTGCTATTTGCTAAGTTTTATTGAAATATCCTCAAATTCGCCACTATACAGGATTTGACACTGGAGATGATAAAAATCGGTTCTCACTACTCAAAGAATATTGAGAGAAAAACGCCTTGAATTGGAGAAATAACAAAATCAATCATTAAAATAATTGCTTCTTAAAAAAATTTAGGGGCTATTTATAAAAATGAATCTTCGTGCGAGAACAGCCACCCTTAGAGGTGGATGATTTCCTTCAAAATGAAATGGAACCACTATGGAAGTACCCCTTTTCCAACAAAAAGGAATCATTAAAATCGGTTCACAAATACCGAAGTTATCGCGTAACATACATACAAAAAAAACATACAGTCGAATTGAGAATCTCCTCCTTTTTTCAAGTCGGTTAAAAATACGAATATCGCTTGTACACCGAGAGATAAAATAACACATCGGATACCTGTGACATTTCGGACCGTCATTTCTCGTATTCAGAACTGATACGAATTGGATGTGTTACTCAAACGCTCTTATCCTGCCATCCACTAAATAAAACGCGGCTGACTAACAAAAAACATCCGCTTTAAATTGCATGAGATAAAGCTCAAAATTCTCTATTTAAAACAGTTAAAGTTAGTTAATGTGTCCGTACCTAAAGATGCGTAGCTAAAATGTCATTAAACAATTTCAACACACTAAAACTGGGTTATGATGTTTTTATGATAACACGAAATGAAAATAATTTTTCACATAGCCGCATTTTAGTTAGCGGATGTCAATATTTACGATGCCTCTCTTTAGAATCATTGTTTCTAAATCTCGATCACTGCGAAAATAACTTAATCATCTGTTTTATATCTGACACATCTCAGAGTTGGTGGAATAAGACCACATCTGTAAAATTATAACTTTCCATGCGAGAAGTATAAATATCATAAAGTCTGTCTTTTTTGGAGACGGAGTGAAATTACTTTTGTACGGTTGCCAAATTTCATAAAATTTTAAATAGTTATGTAGTTGTCGATGGTTTTATCGATAGATTGTGAAAGAAGATAACATTTTGCCATGACTGAAATGTGAATATTACGACGTTCTAATCATTATTAATTGCGTTATTACCTTCTTTATTCCTATTTTAACAGTTGACATACTTGTATCGAAAAGGAAAAGCTGTAAAATATGACTCCTCTTTGTATTTTTCATAAACATATTTCTAAATACAGTGTATGTACGAACTTACAAAAATTGACAATTCAAATCAACTTGTGTTCAGTAATTGGATGAATAATAACAACAGATAGGGAAACCCTGTGTCGCGGGTGCCATAGACACACACATAGACAACCCCAAATTAACAAAACTCAAGAGAAATAAATGTGATCAATGTTCGGTCGTTAGTTGATGGAATGTTTATCGACTGCAATCACTAGCTCCTTGCAAGCATGTCATTTTACGAACCTGTACGAACTAAATTAGTAGATAACTTTAATGCATTAATGCAAGAGTTATATAATTTCAAATATACATAATTTGTTTCAAGTAGTTCGTATTTTGTATGACTTTTAAGTGATAAAAGCGATTTGACGTGGCTTTATTTTATTATGACTACTAATTTTACAATTTAACATTCTTCTTTCGGTCGATTAAAAAGTCCGTAACACTGTATCCTTATGTATACATAAGGATTTTTCATGAAGTATTTTGCTTCCTCCTTCTTACAGTGTATGGTAAAAGCATGGAAGTAACTTTGTTTCCCGAAAATTATTAATTGGGATAATTTAGGCCCTGAGGTTTTTGAGACAAATGAGTACTGTTGTACATGTTTGCTAAACATTACGTGAGAATATGGAGACGTGTGAGTTTACTTTTCATTTAGAGTGTTTGGCCAATGATCCACCAAGATTTGCAACTTGGTTATCTAAAAACATTAAGTTTTCTAGCATTTTCGCTAAAGTGTTGTAAATATTACAGGATTTTCTCTATAGACGCATTTAATTGTTTATTATGATAATGTTTTAGCTGCAATAAATCTAGATTAAATCAAGTACGTAATATTATAATACATGAATGACAACAATTGATGAATGGGTTCTTTTATCTTTTAATCTTCTTTATTTGGATTGAAAAACATTCGATTCAATTGTTTTAACACTTTTCGTTCATGAGCAAGTGTGAGGTAAGAATAAATTTTATTTCTCAATAAAATCAATTAGAAAATATTTTGAATAACAAAAATTTAGTAAAAAAAGCATAAAAGTTGCATTGAAAATATTGTTGACGCGTTTACTAATTCGTTATCCTTGGTTAATAAACTATAGATAAATTGTAAAATCGTGTAGATATTTCCTAAATATTTGCTTTTACCAGTAAGCAGGTGTTTCTACATGATCTTTTTCTTTCCCCATGAATTAATGACAAATAAAACCTATTGCATAGCAAGTGATAAAACAATCTGCAGATTTGTTTGACAAGGTTATCTATTCTATAACTATCGCACTATAAGCATTCAAATTTATTGTGTG